ATAACTGTCGACCGGAGACTAACTGTCTCTCTCTCTCTCTCTCTGTTCATCAGCACTCAGCTGGAGGCTATATATCCTTTAAAAACAAAACAAAATATATATAAAACCAAAGAAAACCCAACTGGCTTATGCAATTTTCATTGCCATTATGGCATCTTCAATGGAAGGAGCTTCAAAGTGGCCGCAATTCGACTGACCTTGATGCCTCGTCCAGAAGTAGTGCCCCCAAAAATATTGGACTACTTCCAAGTCGTCTGTCACGGGCGCGGTCATAACATTTCATTGCCATAATTTCTTATGCAAATATCCTGTGGCAGCGTTGCGAATTTATTAATTACTCGCCAAACGCCCGGACAGCCGAGCCGAGCTCACTTCACTTGACTTGCCCGGAATCGGTAATTTCTATACTCGAATTTCCACCAAAAAGCAACACTTGAACAAATCACAGGTGGTTATGAATATTTCAGAGATTTAATTTCAGTTATAGGTATATTTTTGAAGGCAAGGATTTTTAAAAATAAAAAGATGTACTACGATGTTTTCATAATTTTTATAAATGATTCTAGGTTGAATACAACGATACAATTTTTTAATTTTTAATATTATCGAAAATTGTTGCAAAAATCATATAATCTTTAAAATCTATGAAACCAAAACTAACATTTTATTACAGTGCCTTCAGCTACCAGTCAAGTGAGGGCGCCGTGTAACATATTGGTATCTTTCAAAAAATCTTTTTCACTTCCCAAAAATAATATATATATGTATATACGATACGATATATCGTGGCAAGTCGTGTGCTTCTGTATGTGTATAATTAAAATGTTCAAAAAAGCGACAGTGTTCATTTTTTCATCATAAATTTCAAAAAGATTGCCATTTTGGCGCTGGACGCGCGCGTCTCCCATTTGAAGTAAACCGCGGCGGCAATGACAACGAAACCCGCAGACTGGGTTTTGCTGGGCTATGGGGATTCCGAGGGGGATTTCGGGGCTTCATATCGGTCTACCAGTTGGGGGGTTACGGGGCTGGAGGAGACACAGACTGGACCACATTTAATTGGCAACGTTGCAACCCGTTTTTGCTGTTTTCTGCAGTTTTGTTGTTTTTTTTGGCTGAAGCTTTATTTAGTTTTTTTTTCTTTATATTTTTTTTAGAGTTTTTTGCTTTTTTATAAATTTTTTATTTTTGAGTAATTTTCAAATCAAACCAAGGTCTCGTCGGTCTTATCTGGCAGTCGTTTTTTTTTGTAGCTCTTCTTGTACCTTGTGGCATGCGCGTGCGCAGCGGCAATTTGATGAAATGCATATGAAATCAAAAGTGAATTTCGAGAGGGGATGAGATATATAAAAATATATATATATATGTATAAAAATATATATATAAAATGCATTGCGACTAATTAGTCCAGTCACGCAGTGAATGGGCTTCCCAGTGCCCTCTGACGGAATGCATTTATTTTTGAAAACTTTATATTTTTGCTGCCACGCGTCTTCTTCTAGTCCTCCCCTGGGCCTTTGGTTGTTCTCAGCTCTTTTTCTGATCCAATTAAATGTCATAAATTTGATTATAAAAAACCTCGAGGGAGGGGGACTTAAAAGCATTACTATATAAAAAAATATGCAAAAAAAAAAATATGAAACACTTCTGATGGCTTCTAGCCTATTAACCTTAATTTCTGTTTATTTCTTGGTCTGGATCTTGGATGAGTTCTGGTGAGTGACTGGAAAGTGGCCCCAATTGTTTACTTTCTGGCAATTAAAGAAAGCCACTTCTCTATAATTAACAGAAGCCAGAACCCTTTTGACTTTTGCCGCTGCCGCTCGGGTAATTCATTTAAATAATTTGGCAAAGTGAAAGCCTTGCGGTGGAATTGAGACATTTTCAAGTGGTAATTAAGACATTTCCAAAGTTTTTTTTCGGGAATTTATTTATTTCTTTTGTCAATGAAGAAAAAAATACACATGAGGGATAAAGAAAGTGAAAGAAAAAGTAATCCGTTTCATATATATAATTTTTGTTAATAATTATTTAATAGCCTGGAACCTACATAGATAGAAAAAAAGTAATCCCCTCTATAAGAAAAAAAAGGTATCATTATCATTTCAGCTGCATTGTCAAAAAAATAATCAGCTTAACTAAAGAAAACTTCAGGATGCTCACGCAATTGTCCTTGTTCGTGAGTATCCTGTGGTAGGCGTTTTTAATTGCCAGGATGGGGGAAAAATACTAGAAAGGAAAAAAAAAGGAAAACCTAAAAGGAAAAATCTATAACAATGAGAACAAGAAGGACAGTATTTTACGAGACAAGTGCGGCATCGGGACAAGTGCACCTTTGTGGGGGCGGATACCTTTTTATTATTTCAACAATGTTGCACTTGTATTTCGCATGAAGTTGCATAACATCACAATTATGTGGACAAATGTGCACGCGATGGTCTCCGAGAGGCGCATCATCTCTCAGATACGCCCACTCCTTGAGATACAAATCTATCCGATGGATATCGGTGCGAATATCTCTAATTGCAATGCGGTCTCTTTTCTAGCACTCTCACGCCCTTAGCTCGTACTCTTTCTGGTACTTGTGATGCCATCTCTTTCGGGGCAGAGAAATCTTGGAAAGATGTCATGGACGAACATAAATTACATTATTCTTTGTCAACATTTGTGAGTCAAAAACGCGTTCATGTTAAACAAATAACTCACTTGTTGCAACTTGTTGCAGCATTGCACTCGCACGCCTTGCCCCCTTTTGTGGCAAAAGTTATTTACGAGACATCAGTCAGCATCAGACGGTGGTGTCTGAAAGGCATGAGGGCTGTGAGGGCCATGAGGGCCGTGAGGCGGTTGTGTTGTAATCAGAGCATCCTTAATAAATCATAAATTTATTCGCCCAGAAAAAGCAACAACACACACACTTGCAACACAGCCACTTGCAACTCAGCAACTTGCATGTAAAGAAGCCTGACTGAAGCCGGAGGGCTTTTTTGGAACAGCCCCAGGGAACTGGCAAGTCGTTCGCTCCTCACTGGATCTGATACACATATTTCTGCATATATTTTCGATGGCGTTTCGATGGCCCCGGGTTTTGGGCCGTTGTAGCCCCGTTTTAGCCACGTTTTTGGCCCTTTTTAGGGGCCATGTCAAACGTATTATTAACTTCACACAAAAAGCGTTCGATTTTGCACCGTTTGCTGTCGCCGGGACATTGTCGTATGTCGCATATATCGACCGCCAATGGAGGAGACTTGCCACATGCCCCTTTGCCCTTATCCATACTCATCCCCATCCCCATCTCCATCCTTTGTTGTGCCTCCTCCTGGTGTCTCCCTCAATCCTGAACCAACTCCACTTCATATGCAATGCAAAAACAGGAAAAAGCCGGAAATAATAATTCGATAAATGCGCCATGAAGTGCCCTGAAGTCCTCAGAACCGTTCGATTTTTGTAGAGCCACAGATCTTTGTCTTAAAAATAAAATACAACACTTGGAGAATAGGCTAGAGGGTTTTAGGTATATTTTTTTAACTAAAATTTAGAATAAGGAAATATTAAAAGTTTTTTAAGGTGTTTCTTCCTAGAAGCCTTACTTGAAATTATTTTCTTTAAAAGATTATTAATATTATAAGTATTTATTTGACATTATGGTGCTATTTTATTCTCTATATAATATCTTTCTTATATCAAAACCGATAATAAAATTTTTATTAATTTTATAAACCGTATTTTCTCTCGCTGTATAACCTTTTTTGCAGAATCGCTTCTTTATTTGCACTCCATATCGAATCGATTGAGGTGGAAACTTTGGCCCGAAGAGCCAGGGATCGGTTATAGCCAGGGCCATATATCTTCTTCCACCGATTAACGGAAGTGCGTAGACCCCAACACGTTTATCTATTAATGAGGTTCAGTTGCCGAAACAGGAAATGCGCGTGGGAGTTGCTATTTCAACGGATGTCCAATAAAATGGCAAAGAAATAAAAATACCTAGATCAAGAGGAAGTGGTTAAAACAAAACTACTATACTATATCTATATATACAAATTAATTCGAATATATATATATATATTTAAATAGATTATCTTGCACAAAGTCAGCGCAGCAGCTTCCGTTGCAATGTGGCCGTGGAGTCCCATCGGATTCCTTCAACTTTTGTCGGGGGCGATCTGAGATGCAGAAGTATCCATGGTTTGCCTGTTTTGCCAGCATTTCTGGAATAACTCAAAATTAGTTCAACAACTGGAGGACAAGTCTGTGAGACAGCCTGCAGGACAGCTTGGAGGACAACCCGTAGGACAACCTGTAGAGGACAATTGGCGGCGAAGTAACACACAAATCGATCGATCGATCGCTGGGAATTGTCGGCATTTGGCCTCTGATTAACTTGGCCCATAACTCGGTCTTGGCCAATATGCAAATATGCAGAAATGCAGCAAGTAAATTACTTTAGTTAACCCAACTCAAGCCTGATTGGATTGTTTTTATGCAAAACTTCTTGACAAATTGTTAGGATAATTCCGCGGTTTTCCCTGCTTACTTGGGTTTTTGTAAATGCTTAACGGTTTGTTTAATCAGATACTTATTGATTCTTTTGAATAATTTGTTTCGAATAATACATTTTACCACAAAAACAAAAAGGGTTGAATTTTCGTAAAATATTGACTCAGATTTCAGTTAAAATTGTGCGCCAATTCGCACCCGAAGGGATATTGAAGAACCATTTTGTGATTAGCTCTTCAAGTACCATCTTTCCTCATTCATTGCTTAAACATATCGTTTTTAAATTTTTCTAATTTTTTCCAAGTACCCTCATGAAATTTTGGGTGTACGAGTGTCTCAGTTGGAATACTGTGTGTCTTTTTTTTAACGCCTTTAGATTTCTCGCCAGCTCCCTCTCGCCAGAAAAAGTCAGCTCCCCAAAACCAATTTTCCCAATCTCCCAAAAGCAAAAATCACATAAAAATTTCGTTTATAATTATCAGTTTAATGTCCTCCATGTTTGTAAAAAAAAAAAGTTCTTAAAACTACATTGTCTTCCATTATGAACTAGATCTTAGGGCTAAACAGTCTTATAAACTATATAAAAACCAGGCACATACAGCGCTCTCTTACATAATACTTTGTACAGGTTGAAAAAAAAATGTTGTATGTTTTTAGTTTTGGATAATAAATACTTTGCGGCTGAGGTAATACTTCGTGTTGGCCAATCAATGGTTTGCAGTGTGTGTGTGTGTGTGGCATGCGACTAGCAAAGGATGGTGGGTCCTTTGGGATTTGCTTAAAGATCGTCCTGCCAGAGGGAAATGTAGTCGAGGATGTCATCATCCTCGGCGCCGGAACTGCAGGAGTTGTTGCGATAATCTTCGTAGCTGTTTTCCAATTTGGTGGAAATGGCAACAGGCGATGTTGTAGATGTTGCGGATGTTGCAGAGGGAGTGTAGTACGACGAGCTGTTGCTGCTGCTGCTGGTGTTGCTGTTGCACGAACTGACACTGCCAGTGGGTGAGCTGAGTTGCAATTGTTGCTGCCACGCGTAGAAATGTTGCTGCTGCTGCTGCTGTTGCTGGAAGTGCATGTGTTGCTGTTGCAGTTGCTGCTGCTGATGTTGCTGCTGCTGCTGGTCGTTCTCGTCGATCAGCTTCTGGAGTCGGCGGATGTATTCGACTGCCATTTTCAGAGTGCTGACTTTGCTGAGTTTCTTGTTGGCACCGGGTCCGATGCCGCGACGACCGTTGCTCAGGTCGGCTATCACGGCCACCGGTATGTGCTGCCGGAGTTGGCTGAAGCCGTTGTTGACCTGCTTGACGCGGTTGCGTTCCCGGGCATTCCGCCGGACAACGGACGCGCCACCGCTCACCGGCGACAGGGAGTCATCGTTGTAGAACAGAGACGTTTGATTCTCGCTTCCCAGAGCCATGGTTACGATATTTAGAGAATTAGGTTTTTATTTTTTGGAGAAATTCTAGAGATGATTTCTTCTCGAGCGCTGGCTCCGTTCTGATGCCCTTCCCCGTGCCGTTCGGGCTATTTATAGGGGCCCGGACCCGATCCCGGGCCCTCTGGGATCTCACCTGCATTTAATCTACCTACCTGCCTTTTGGCCTGTCGGCCTTTCGGGCCCTCCAACAAAAACAAACGAAAATAAAAGGTGCAACAGCATCACTCAAGGATCCAGCTCAGAGAGCCTCTTATTCGTTGCGAGTGAATCTTGAAAATCACTCCAGAGAGAGGAACTGAGAGTGTAACTCAAAATGCAGCTGCCTCGGCGGTGAGTGTTCCCTGTCATCGAGTGGGAAGAGTTTACTGGGGATCTTGGGTTTCCAGCTGCTCCGTCTGGTGTCTGGAGTCGATCGACTGAGGTCGCGTGCCGGCTGCCAACCGGTTTCCAGTTTCCTCCAGCCTTCGGAGTCTTGAGTCTTGGCGGCTTGCGACTCCAAATCCCAGATCCCCTTTCGGCCAGTTCGGGCCCTAATGAAAGTGGCCAGCCATCCAGCCAGCCAGCCAGCCATCGTTTATGGCCCTAATAGTAGAGCCACAATAAATCAGAGGGGGCTGCTCCCAGGACCAGCACTTCGTCAACACTTCCCTCTAAACAAATCAAATCTGAAAGGCCAAGTGTTGCCGAGGTTGTATAATTAAAATCTGAATCTATAATTTTATGGGAGTTATGGGGAAGGTTTTAAATACGAACTCATGTCCATTTGAAACTCGTTCTTTTATTTCCCAAACGACCTTAAAGTCACGAAAATCCTGGACCTTGGCAAAGTTTTATGATCCATCAAGAACTCACCAGACTCCTAGGACTCCAAGGACTCGTCAACACCTCAAACGGTGATCCAGTAGAATCAGTAGAATCCAATAGAATCCCTAATCAGCCGGAGGCACTTTTCTATTAACACTCCTAATGCCCCGGGGTCCTTTCTGGGCAACGTTCCTGGCAATGCACTTCCAGCACCCGTCGCGTCAAGGACGTGGACGAACGTGGAGATCCTGGACAAGTCGAAAGCATTTTGAAAGCATTTAGCATTGAAAGAAACACCGTTGGATCCTGGTTCCTGGTTGGTCACTGCTATCCTTGCTATGCGGTCCTTGATCCTTGCTGGTTGCACGCTAGGCAACCGTGCCGAAAGCGATTCAGAAGGTAGGGCCCATTATAATATTCTGCGACCCATTTGACCTATTGACCTTTTTCAGCCCACAACACGGCACACGCTGGGCCTCATTTAACACTTCGTTTCGGCAGCCGCGGGAGATTTTTGCATTACCTCATCGCTGCATGCCACAAAAAGGACCTCTAAGGACATCTGAGCAGCAGCGGCCAGAGGTCACAGGTTCCGACGGTCACCAGATGTCCACATATCCGGTCCGTCATGCAAAATTTACTGTTGATGCAATACGAATTCGCTTTGGCCCAGAAGAATTCTAAATAATACGACAAGGAAGGGGAGAATCCCTCCAATCTTGCCCAAGAGTTGCGTGCGTTTCCATTATGAATTGTGAATTATTTAGGGTTTCTAGGTTGGCACATTCCCTCCGATCTCGGAACTCTCTGATCTGGTTCGGCACGCTTAAGGTTATGGATTTTTATTTAGAAAAATACGAATAAAGAAATACACTCATTATTGGAATGGGATATTCAATAGCATGTCGGAAGTAGAAAAGTAAAAGTAAACTGCTTGGTTTATATTTAAAATAAACATGTTTCTATAAGAAAACTATTAGAAGCCCTATACACATATTTGAAATATTTTTTAATCTTATAGGAATTTTATTCAAGCAGTTCTTGAATTTTAAGAGAATGTTTAAAAAAATAAATCATTTCTTTATCATTTCTCTCCGTTGAAATGAAACCCTTAGATAAATTAACAGTTTTAAACTCTATTGTTTAATTAAAAATCTAAACCATAAGGGTATATAAATTTCCATAAATTTCCATAATAACTCCCAGTATTTTTTTTATTTCATCCATTTCATATAAATTTCAACGTGAAGCTTGGGGCCAGAGATGCTTAAATTTTGTGCGATCGTCGGCAGCAGAAGCAGAAGGCGCTATCATTATCTGACACAAAAATTTAATATAAATTATGTTGACATGTTGGCTTAAATATGTATGGCTTTTTGGCTTTTGCCTTTGCTTTTGGCCCGTTGCTTTTGGCCTGCTGCTTTGCTTATGAACATAATTGAAGCAGTGAGGCTGTAAGGCTGTGAGGCAGTGGCGATCGTCTGCTTTTCTGTTTTCTGTCTTGGGGCCGACTAACTAGTTCAATAATTGCTACTACGACACGGCGACAGCAAAACGAATAAAAAGCAAGCTGGAGGGAGGCAGAGGACACCAGGACGGAGGCATATCCCTCGAATGAAGATGAAGTCGTCATTAATATCGACTCGGCCTGTCAATAACTTGACGTCCCATCATTTTTTCCACACTTCTTTAAAGCGGCAACTCTTATTTTTTTCTGTCTTTTTGTGTTATTTTTTTTTTTGGTGGCTTGCCACAGTGGAGCCTCGATTTAAACAGAGCAGTCCAATTTTTTTGTTTCCCGATTCATCCCAGTCCAAGGTCATTGTGGGTATAGTCATTACTCTTCTTAGCAGACTGCACTTTGCATTTCTGCGTCTTGCAACTCCTGCCACTTGCTACTTGTGTCACTTTCCGAAAGGAGAAACCGCTGCCTCATGATCCTTTTTACTTGTATTATTTTTATTTTGTTTTTATTAAAGAGCGGTGGCATTTTTAAAGCAATTTTAGACGACGTCTTAATAAATCAGAGGATTTTGGAAAGTCTGTTTAGCCTGGAAAGAAAGCTATTTATTTAAATATTTATTTTTTATCTAACTTAAAGTTAAGAAAAGTACAAAAATTGTTGTAAAATTTTGTTGAAAGAGTATAAAATGTATAATAAAATTATTTAAGGACTTTTATCTAAATCAAATGAGGTCTTTTAAGCCATAAAAAATATCTTAATGGCACAACTGTTATATCACACCTAGAGGTCCCTAAAAGAAAAGTCTAGAAATATATACAAAATTTGTTAATGAATTCCAGTACTTTAAAAATATTATCCCTATATCCTCTCCAAAGTTTATTGATCTCTTCAGATTCGATCCTCATGTTCTGTGAGCTTCTGCCGTCCTAGAGATCATTGAAAATTGTTATTGATTCCGATTCCGAATCAAATCAAAAGTCAACTGTCAACTTTTCATGGCCATCAAATTGCCGCCTGAACAGACCTGGCCAAGTGTGATGAAAGGCCAAATGCCGCAACTCCCACTCTAGAGCCTCAAATATATATATAAGATATATATCTGATTTATGGATGGCCCGTCGATTGTCAGAGCGACATCTAAGGTGCGCGTTTTGACGCCGCCAATTCTATTTCGGCCAATTCCATTGCCACTGGCAGTGATATTTATGGCCAGAAGCTGAAAACGGCCATCAGGAGCTGGCCGAGGAGCGGGCCAAGTCAAGCCAAGCCAAGCCGACCCAAGCTCAATGGCAATTTTTGATTAATTGTAATGCGAGAACTTTGATTAATTGCGGGCAGCAAGCGGCCCCAACATAACAATTTGTTTTGGCATTGCATTAAATCAGCCAACAGATTGTGGCCAAAATGGGGCTTAGGGGGACTGTAGGGGTGTAGGGAGCTACCAGCACGGCGTGAGATTGTAAGGCCAACACCTCGAAAGCCTTTGCTGCCGTATTTATGAGTTGGTAAGAAATTTATGAATGGCCGACGAGGCTTTGGCCTCGACCATCAGTGGCGGCGGCGGCTCTTTCGTTGCCAAAAAAAAAATAACACTACAACAAAATATTGCTTGTAGTTTTTAGAAAGAAAGATAGAAAGAAGAAAGATATTCTATAAAGAATTTCACAAGTGAATTAAAATACAAAAGTATTTTTGGGAATTTATCAAAAAATTTTTAAAGAGGAACTGAAAAAAAAGGAAAAGAAAGGGAAATATTGTATATGTATATGATCTAGAAATTTTACAAAAAATCTCAAGAAAAAAAACAATTTCTTAAAAATTATTTGATTTCAATTGAAAATGTTTCTCAACCAATTATTACACATTATTATTATATTTTTTTCAGTGGCAATGCGCATCTTGGTCTTTCATCCGCTGGCAATTGCAATTATGCAAAAAGTTGTCAAATACGGGAGGCATGGGGCGTGGCCCAGCATGACTATCAACAAAATATAATCAACAATAACAAAAATAAAAAATAAAAGAGACAGGGGCAAGCTATAACAACAAAAAAATTGCCCAAAAAATTGTACCAGTTTTTGTTTTTTTTTTAATATTTTCCTGCAAAAGCTCTCTCAACAATTTACATGTCTTGGAATCAAGTCGGCCTTTTGGGTGTCCCTCCCCGTCTCTGGGGCCAACAAACAAAACCAATCAACGCGTCTGTCAAAGCGAAAAAAGGCAACTGGATGCGGCAGTGGACTGGGTTTCTCGGTTATCGGTAGCCGCGCTGAAATCAGCTTCTGGCACTCACGATCACGACGCGCCAATCCGGCACAGAAAGTCCCAGACAAGTCGACAGGCGACTTTGGGCCTCCTTAGCTGCCCCGCCCTGTCCTGGAGGAGGATGGAGGAGGGGTGGGGGTTGGTGACCAGGTATGCACCTTCAACCTGCAACTGCAACTGCACTTGCAACTGCATCGGCGATCCGGCGATCTGGCGATCGACCCTTTAGCGATCCATGCTCGTTGCTCCTGTCACAATTACAACAGCAAGTGCAGCGGACTAATGACAACCACGGTGGCAGTTGGCCCAGAACAGTGGCTTAAATTTAAGGTTTTTAAAAAAATAATATCTTTAAGATTAAGATAGTTTTTAGCCAAGACAGGATTAAAAAGAGAAGCCAAAAACAAAGGCAGGGTAAAGGAACCTTATCGTTAAAGTAAATAAAATTTGAGAAAAGAAATTATTAATCTAAACATATAAAGCCTACAAATAAAGTCCGATAAGTTAATATATCTTTAATATTT